TTCATGCATTTAGGCTAATCTAATTATTATCAAATTTGTACAGTTATGAAAGCTATGAATTTGTTAACTAGTAACTATAATATCCGTGAATTTGATTTTACTCTAAAAGTTCAATGTCAGCTGTTTGATTCATTTGTAAATCTATATTAAGTTATGCAGCAGAAGTGTTGGGTAATTCAAAAGCTTAAGAAATTGAACGAGTGCAGTTAAAGTTTTGTAAAAGACTACTTAATGTTTAAATGTCAGTAAGTCATGTTTCTGTTTATTGGGAGGTAGGGCGCTATCCGCTTTATATAAATAGTTTTGTTAAGATATTCAAGTTCTGGCTTAAAGTTTAAAATTCCAATAATTGTATCATTAAAAACGTATATATGGAGCTGTTAAATGATGCTATTCATGGTAAAAAGATCTGGGCATTTAAATTAAAGGTTTCATTAAAAAACTATGGATATGGATATCTTTGGGAAATACGGGACAGTATTACTGACGGTAAAAGTTTGATTCCATGTTTTAAACAATGATTGATTGACTGTTTCCTTCAGGAATGGAGAAGTGATATTGATGGCAAACCTATATTATTGGTATATAAATACATGTTAAAGAGAATTTTGATTATGAACCTTATTTAACCTTGTTGAACAAATCACAGAGACTCTTCATAACAAGAATGAGAACGTTTTTGCACTGTTTACGTATAGAAACCGGACGTTATGGAAATAATAGAATAGACAGGGAATATAGACTATATGTCAAATATGTGAAAATGGCGAGATAGAGGACGAATATCACTTTATGCGTCAATGTGCGAGATACAGAGTCATAAAAAAACGATATATAAGTGAATATTGCACACTTCGACCAAGTTTGCTTAAGCTTATTGAACTGCTTAGATCTGTGAATCATAAGACAATGACAAATTTGGTGATGTTTATCAAATGTGCTCTTAAAATTCGAGAAAATATGCTACGACAAAATGATATTTGGTGTGGGCGAACATGTACTTAAATTGATTAAACAAGCGAAGAATTTCTGAATCAGTTTCTTACCTTTTTGCCAGAGTGAATTGATTGCGATAAAGAATGAAAGCAGCTGGGGAGCATGAATATCGTATGCTTCGTGCAATGATAAATTGCGCCATTTTTCACGAAAGACAACCAATTGGAGCGGATGACAAACGCTCCATGTTGTATGATCTGTAAAAGGAATTAATTACTTTCTATTCTATAGATTTGTATAAGTCGCATTTAGTTCTAACATAAATGTTTCGACACTTGTTCACAATGGCACGACTGCGTTGTCTTGATTTGATATAAGAAAGCTGTGAAGAAAAGTTGTTTTGTTTATTGTTTTTTTTGTGGTTTTTTTTTAAATATTTGTTAGAAAAATCTTGTCAGTTACTAAAAACAATGTAAAAGATATTTGTTTTTATTAAGAATACATATTTCGTGAAATACGTGATGTAAGATAGTTGAGAAGAAAATCATTATTTTGTTTTTGTAATATTTTGTTACTAGAATCAACTTTTCACTGACTAAATGACTAGCTTTTTAATTTATTTATTTATTTTTATTTATTTATTTATTGTAGTGAGACGCAAATGTGAGAAAGGTGAATTTAAATGTTCCAATGGTCAATGTATAGATTCGAAATATGTTTGTTACAATGGTAAAAGCATAGGAAGAAATGGTTGTGTCGATGGCTCGCATCTCCTGCATTGTCGTGAGTATCTATAAATTAACCCTTACCATACAAAATATCATAAATGAATTTGTCCATCTTTCATTAATTTATGGAAATTTACAAAATATGTACTGACTGAATAGAGAACCGTGCAAACCACAATTAGATGGCTGATTAATGTCTGCGTTGATTAAATTGGAAGAATTTGTTGCCGAGAGAAGGCTTAGGGTTAAAGACCCTAAATTTGTTAAATTTGGTTAAATTTGGCTCCCCCCCTCCCCACACCCCCCCCCCCCCAAAAAAAAAAAACTATTATTTTGGTTCTTTTTTAGAAAAGGGCAAACATCGTTTTATTTTTTATGTTTATGTTTTAATAATTGTTTAAGAGAATGAAACGAGACTAACGAAGTTTCGAATGTTATATAATGTATAATAAACAAAAAGCAAAATGTAAGCAAAGTAGTGTTTTGACATTTATACAAAATCACTATTGATATTCCTGTAGCCAAAAAAGCTAAATCTGATTCAGGTAATTGACCAATGAGTAACTTTTTTTGGAATTAAGAAACGACACCAAAACAAATTAAAAGCTATTGCGTAATGCTAAAAAAATGTCTAGACTTTCAGTATGATTGCAAATACAGATCTGTCTGTTCAAGTATCTTATTTATATACATTTGCATCAATTAAACATAGCAAGATGTAAAATTGTCCTTTCTGACGAGGTGTCAGTTTGTTGCGATTATAATAATGTACTCAACAATTAAGTAATGTTTTATGTTTTAAAAGGAACTTTTGGCCATGACCTTACATAACAACGAAGTCATGTTCTATCATTATTTCAGATAACCATTCGTGTTCCACGGGCCAGTATAAATGTCCACGATCATATTGTATTGACGAAACAGAAAAGTGTGACGGACGAATAGATTGTAAGATGACTTACGCTGATGAATTTGACTGTGGTTTGTATTTTAATTTCCAGCTGTTATTTTTTGTTGTTGTTGCTGTTGTTGAATGTTATAATGTCTTTGAGGTTGTGTTGGCTTGTTGAAACTGAAGTCCTACGGCCATATAGCTTTATTCCATCTTTACTGGTAGAGAATTGCCTTAAGTAGAAACACTGAACGTTCGTAGACCAGTCAGATTGTAATTCAATAAAAACAACATTGCATCTTGGAAATTGAACCTACAGTGCTTTTGGACAGGTGAATTGACAGATGATCAATGACCTTAGAAACTCGGTCATGGATACTTCTTTTTATGTATTCATACATGATTACCTATCAGGGTAGATATCATGATAGAATTAATATTTTTGAGCTGCAATATTTGGCAATAATCTCTCTTACAAATGAAAAAAGTGTTCAGTGTCATTTCTAAAGTAGACATTTGCCAGATGTCAAATACACCTTTGAGATTGTAAAGCATTTCTATTTATCTTGAGTTGACAAAGGTAAATTCTGCACTAGATGACGATGTCACCGACCGTTTGGACTTGCGGATAGCACCGCTTGCTAAATTACGTTTTTAGTAATGTAATTTATGTTATTATCTTACATTTCAGAACATATAAAACTGGTTCTTTTATCATGTTAAACAATACTCATCTTACTTTAACAAAACTGCTCCTGGTTGCAGTTGAGAACTAGGTTGTGTCTGTTAACATCCTTGTTTACAGAACATATAAATCTGGTTTTTAACTAAATACTGCTCCCGATTCAGGTTTGGAATTTGGCTTCTTTCCAATCGCAACTTGTCGTCCTTTTCGTCAGTCTTTGTATTATAGCCGAGGATGTTCCGGATGTAGTTTTCCTATATTTATTATTTCGTATATATTTTCATAGGTTTCAAATGCCCTTATCCGGATATGAAATGTGATTGTCTTGACATAGATATGGACTGTGAAAATAGAAATCTAACTCGCCTACCACAAGACCTTAGTAAAGAGGATTTAACAAAATAGTAAGTGCAAATACGTCAATTATACACGTCATAGTGTTACGTAATAATGCTAAGCATTTGCTTTGTGAATTGGTAACAACTGTTTTGTACGAAAGACCGGTGGTGACATTTCACGTTCACGAATTCATGATTTCAAGATTTTAATATTTCTTTATTTTTAGAGTCAAATATTTTATTTTTAAATCGTGAATTCATGAATTGGCGATTTCATAATTTCACAATTTCTCTTAAAAAATTTGAATATTAAATAAAATAATGAAATCGTGAAATAATGAAATCGTGAATTCATAAATTCACGATTTTATTTTTAAATTGAAATCGTAAATTCATGAATTCACGATTTCATTATTTTACGATTTCACTTTGAAAATGAGATCTTGAATTCGTGAATTCACAAATTCATTATTTCATTATTTCCTTTATTCAGGTTTTCAAGAGAAATCGTACGCGGTTTTAGTATTTCATTTATTCAGGTTCTTTTTAAGAGAAATCGTCAAATTTTGCATTCACGAATTCACAATTTCATAATTTAATATTTCACTCTAAAAGAAAAGAAATATTAAAATCTTGAAATCATGAATTCGTGAACGTCAAATGTCACCACCGGTCTTTCGTAGTTTTCCTCTTGGTGTCAAAGTGTATAATTTTTCACCATCGTGATAATGTGTTTCAAAGCAATTGAGGCTCTGTAATTTAACAATTAATGTTGCAAAAAATAATCAACATTTGCATTTGTTAAATAACGGCAGAGTAATATGGTCATATATAACTATTTTGCTTGATGTTAAATTAGAAATTATTGCAAATGTGTTTCACCATACCCCCTGTGTAGCAATTTTCAAGATAATAATCGTGTCGTGTGTCAACTGATATCAATATGTTTAACATTTAGACCCCTGTAAATGTAGTATTGTAGTGTATTTGTGGGTACTTGTTATATTAGAATCAATAAATAACTTTGATTTATCATGTTAATGGAATATATGCTTAAGTCCACATTTATTTGAATATTAACCTTTCTGTATTATGTGCATGTGGGCCATCGCAATCTTTTTCTTTTGTTGTTGTTGTTGCTGCTGTTGAAAGGTTTTGTTTTGTTGGGGTTTTCTTGTTTTCTTGTCGTTTTTTATTGCTTTTTTTATTATTTTTGTTGGGTGTGTATTGCACATCTAGATCAGTAGAAATGCACATACATTTTTTAACGATGGTCAATTTTGAGTAATAGTTATTTTGTTATATAGAACGAACTTTGAACTTCTTACTCTCTTGCAATTTGTTTGTCTTTTGTGAGTCAAACGGTAACTTTCTTTTCTAAATTGGCTTTTAAGAAGCATCGATCGATGCTATCTGAATATTCAACAGCGGTAGATCATTACTTTTTTCTTCGTTATTGCTTTTACAACAGTCTGTTTAGTTAAGATTAACACATTTGAGCTTCAAAATCGCATTTTAAATTGCATTTTCTGAATAAGTAATTTAGCTTGAATTCTAATGTAAGGCAATTTAAATACCTTGAAGAAATGAAATAGAAAAATTGAGATAATAACAAAGACCTAGAATTTATTGTGATAATGTATTCGACTTACCTATCTGTTTGATACAGAAAAAATGTATTGAGCGTGTTAAGGATATGATACCTCAACATTCTTTCTAGTAATAAAACTTAAAAAGCCCATGATGCCCTAAAAATCTTCTTTTTTTTTTTTCTTTTTTTTTTGTATTCTTCTATAGTTTAAAATCAGTAACTTATTTGCCAATTACTTGAAATGGCTTCTTCTACTGTTGTTTTGGGAGTAAGTGAATGTAAAGTGATTTAATATTTGTATGGAAGTCAAAATACTACTACTTCGTTTACAATTTGCTCCTCTTATGACATTTATTTTACATTCACTGCTATTTTGTTAAGTAACAAGCAGCTTTCATACTCTAAAATCATTTTTAAATGTTATAAAGCTTATTTTTGACCTTTCTAAAATAAGTTCCTATTTTTTTCATTTGTAAGGCATAATGTGTCTTTAAAACCTGCATGAAACAAAAAAATAAAATAAAATACATGCTGATATATTCAATTTTTTTTTCCAGTAAATTGGGCGGTAACAGAATACGGATAACGCAGACAATGTTTGCAAACCTCAGCAAAATTGTTTTATTGTAAGTTAGTTTCTTAACTCAATATTTAACACGAAAGGATGCAAAAAAGAAAAAGAAATCATATCTTTATATCATAAAGTTCCATAATTCTAAAAACAAGAAATATTATTTTAAAAAGATACTCGGTCGAAGGAAACCTAGTTAATTTGCATATGTTATAACCAACGACCACATTAATTTAGAATAGCCAATGAGATTCCCAGATTTCAGTTTGTAATTTTATAATGGCCAATGAAAATTCTTCTTATATTCAGTTCTTCCCTGTAAATTACAGGAAGTCCAACTGATTTTAGACGGCCTATGCCGGATAAATCGAACCGATATGTTACTAGTTTCCTACGGAAACGTTTTCTTTAACATCATTTTCGGTGCAGGAGTGTAATAAATCCATCGCAGAATATGATTAGATTTTATTTAACTCGTGGAACAAACTTGGAAATAAACCAACACTCCTTCAATACCCTCTATATATTACATCATGGATATTGGCACGGCAAGACTGGAAAATCTAGTTTCTAATGTTTAAATAAAAAAATTTAAAAGGCACAATATATAGAATGTCATTACACTACGCCTTTCAGTGTTTAATATCTTTTCTTTATTTTCAGGGATATGAATTATAATGGAATAAGAATAATTCCAGACGGATCATTCAAAAGTTTGTGGAGGCTCTTTACATTGTATGTATATTTTGTTTCCTTCTTTATTTTCTAAGAATGGATAGATAATGGTTATATAAAGAAAAACCCAACAGTGCACATACATACCTATCTTACATGATGCATTTTCATATATTTTGTGAGTTGATTTTGATAGAACACATGGTTGTATTTAACGTTATTCACCTAGCTTTATTATTGTTTGATGATAATGATGATGATGATGATAATGATGATGGTTGTGGTGATGATGATAATGATGATGATGGTGATGATGATTTTGTTGTTGATGATGATGATGATTATTATTATAATGAAGATGATGCTGATGATGATGATGATGATGATGATATTATATACACATTTATATTGTTTTAATTTTATAAATGTGTAAGAAAAACATATCTATCCCGCACAGCCTTTACTAGTTAAAAATAGAAATCCTTGACTTTAAAATTCAAAGCCGGGTAAAACCATCACACAAGCTCTGCAAATAAAGGGTAGTTAACATTGATTCATTTATCCTTCATTTATGTTACTATATATTATAAAAATATTTGTATCTATTTTTAGGAATTTGGAAAATAATCTGATAGAAAATATAAGCAACGGAACTTTCAAAGGGCTGACAAATCTTAGGACACTGTAAGTTTTAGCAAGAGTTATCTTTCTTTGGTTTTAATATTAAACAATTGTAAATATCAACTTGTATAACTTTTTATGTTACATAACTTTGGGAATATATATTTACATATTTACATATAAACATTAGTAAAATCAAACTTGACATATTTATGTATTTTGAGCATAGGCACTTTGGTCTTTGGGGTGTTTTTTTTTTTTGGGGGGGGGGGGTTTGTTTGTTTGGGTTTTTTTTGGGTTTTTTTGATCGACTACCCGTTGTGACCGACTACCCACCGTGATTTTTATAAACTTTTATCAAAAACACAGACACTTATTAAATCTATAAAAACAAATCTACCGACAAAAGTCTTTTTAAAAAATTAGATACACAGTAGATATATCTTTTTTTTTTAAAAAGACGCTTTGTTGGTAGATTTTTTTTATTTGATAACTGTGTGTGCTATAGATAAAAGTTCATAAAAATCACGACGGTTGTCGGTTACAATGGGTAGACCATCAAAACATATGCCAATGATTTCAAGCACTACTTTGATGTCTTTTTCAGATGCTTTTCCTAATTGATGCCTTCTTTATCTTATAGGTACTTAAGCGGAAACAAAATACGGGAGATTACCCCACTAGGCTTTATCGGGTTGTCAAATCTTCATCACTTGTGAGTATTGCGTAGATATGGGAGCATTGATCTAGTAAAGTTGATTATTTGAGCGTTATAGGATGATCAGAAAAATATATTTTCTCTTCTGACAACGAAGGATTATTGCAAAATGATAAGCCTCCTACTTTTAATTCTTCTGGTAAATCTATGCCCATAATGCAGCAAAAAAAAACAGGTTGATTTGCCAATGAATGTGAATTTCTAAATTACAAGAATTGTGAATTGTGTAAATCACAAGTTTCAATTGTTTTTAACTAGTCTCAGTATTGCGTAAATGTGGTTGTAATCAAAACGACCTAGTGCCAACCGTCTTAACAGTTTTTCACATTACTTTTAAATTAATGTTTAAAAGTGGATCATAGTTACCTGCAAAACGTTAGGAATCGGGCCTTAATCCCATCGAAAATTTGTCGCTATTATAAGACATAGCACAGTTATTATTAATAATAACAATTTTCAAACATGCATAGATTTCATAAAGAAATACCTTGACGCGTTCAAATTTGCTTCAATATTTCCTTAGATATATTTGAAATTTCTGAATACCTCTCTGATAAATTAAGATCTCTGTAACATATTTACATGTATTTATTTTCAGAAATTTAAGTTACCAAGCTTTAGAGAAGCTCTCTCTAAACACATTTACGGGTTTGAGAAATGTCAGGACGCTGTAAGTAATCCGAAATGATGATTATTTAAAGGAGATCTTCTGATGTCGAAATAGCGTAAAACATAAAAATATTGAATTCTTACGTAGATCAAGCGAATCACTAAAAATGAATAAATCTCCAAAGGAATTAATAAGAAATATGCTCAGAAAAAAATTAAAAATGGCTCTTTGTGTGATCATTTGTTCATTCCAAGTGAAAAACGTTGCAACGCTTTCCATATTTGGATCACTTTGCACGTACAAATGATGATTCTGGAAAAATGGGGTGATGAAATGGTCTGCAAATTTGCTCACAAGTTTTTGGTCAATGCGTACATTAAATGATACGTGAATCTAGGAATTATAATACCAGTTTATTTATTTTTCATTTTTAAAAATATTAGTGAAGTCCCTTTAAAATAAATTTTACGTTAATGTTAAATGACTTCATTATATCACATGTGAATTGCATTTGCCAGTACGTATTATAGCGAAATATAACACAATATGACACAAAACGCCTTTGACGCAGAGTTTAATTTTGTTTACTATAATATTGGTAAGGCTTAAAAAATTCTCAAAATAAGAACATATATCTATATATACGTTTTATTCTTCTATTTCTTATTTTGACTCAATTGTTCCTGTAAATTCTTTGACGAAATCGTCATCAGCATTATTATTAACTGCTCAGCATTACATGAAAGTACAAATTTGATTTTCAAAGGCTTTATTTCATGAGAACCTTAATTAATTTATCATTTTTTCTGCAGGAATTTGTCTCACAATTTCATATTACAAGTGGATGAGGGAGCCTTTAATGGTCTTGAAAATCTTAAATTCTTGTAAGTATTTGATATTTAGATGTACATGTAACCTGTCGGTTTCGAAATTATCATTTTAAAAGGTTTATTCATTTGTGTAATACTTGTTTGGAAATTATATTGCAATTGTAACAAATATTTTGGGTATCAGTATAGATTGATTATCAATTGTTTTTTTATTATACCTCACTTAACCTTTTTACTATACAGCCTAATGTGATGTTACATGGTGTTGTTTCGATCTATAATATTTTACAAAACTTTCCAGGGGCGAGTAATCTGTATAGACTAAAGAAAAAGTAATGTTATAGTTCTCTCCCCTGGCTTCAATCTATGAGTTCCGCCTCGTGTTATTTGCTAATATGAGAGATAAGTGTTATTTGTAGAATAATATTTGCTCTTAGTGCTTATTGTTAGAAAGGGCGTTCGTGTATGGGTGGTTAAGGTCGTTGTCTTCAAACCACTTGCCCTCTCACCGCTGTAGGTTCGAACCACGCAAGAGTCGTCGGATTCTACATGTGAGATAACTCGTCGGTGGTTAAACTCGAGTGCCTGTTTGGGCCTAAATAATGTACAGACGGGTACCTGAGGTCTTTATCTACCAGTAAAGGTGGAAAGTCGCCATATGACCAATACTGTGTTGGTGGGGCCAAAAATGCATGTATATATAATTGCACGTGTCAAGCGATCTTAACGTGCTTAAACATTCTGTCATTTATCCGTCTCGTGAAAATATATTTACTTTATCCCGTTATCCTTCATTACAAAATAATGCATATACTTGAATATTTTTAACTTATTTGTATTTTTTTCTTATTTCAGAGACTTGTCCTTTAACGAAATCACTACGTTACAGACCCATGTGTTCAACGGGTTAAAACTTCTAACATTTCTGTAAGTCAATATTAATATATCAGAATATTATCAATTCGTCAGATCAGTCAACTAGTACATGTATGAATAAAGAATGCGCGCATTTTCCTTTAGTTATAAAAACGTATACCCCATGTTTGATATCTCAATATTTCGTATCTTAGAACTCATCTCTCACAATTATAATGATAGAACTTCATGATTTCACCGTGTATTTCAGGGATGTATCTAACAACAGGATTGAGATACTAGAGGACAACGTGTTCAATGGTTTACAAACTCTAGAACATCTGTACGTACTTTTTTTCATTTTATTTGTAAACAGATCTGAGCTAAGATTGTTGAACTCGTTAGAGTTACAGTTTTGTTAAAGAACATTTAGACATTGCACCTCTCGGTTCCGTACAAAAACACTTTTTTAAATTGTTGTCATTTTATTAGTGATTTTCGAACATACGACCACACGACATTTTTAATTAATCCTATATTCTTCTGAGGTTGTTATGTCTGATGCTAAATACTAGCTAAATACTTTCAAGCTAATTATGTATTGCATTAAAAACCTACCATTATAGACCAATTCACTTAAAAGGGCATTACAAAAGAGCGTTTTTAAAAAAAAACTTCCTAACCTTCTCACTCAATCTGTAAAAAAACATATATAATATATTTTACTATGTAAATTTAAAAGATTACGAATAAATATTGTTTAAACTAAAGTGCAGCCTAGTAAATTTCACCATACCTTTTCTCACGCGAAATTTGTTATGCGTCACGCTAAATTCCATATATCTCACGCGAAATTCGTTATGTCTCATGCGAAATTCGTTATGTCTAACGCAAAATTCGTTATGTCTCACGCAAAATTCGTTATGTCTCACGCAAAATTCGCTATGTCTCACTCGAAATTTGTTATGCGTCACGCTAAATTCGCTATGTCTTACACAAAATTCGTTATGTCTCACGCAAAATTCGCTATATCTCACTCGAAATTTGTTATACGTCACGCTAAATTCCCTATGTCTCACGCAAAATTCGTTATGTCTCACTCGAAATTTGTTATGCGTCACGCTAAATTCGCTATGTCTTACACAAAATTCGTTATGTCTCACGCAAAATTCGCTATATCTCACTCGAAATTTGTTATACGTCACGCTAAATTCCCTATGTCTCACGCAAAATTCGTTATGTCTCACTCGAAATTTGTTATGCGTCACGCTAATAATGTCTCACGCAAAATTCGTTATGTCTCACTCGGAATTTGTTCTGCGTCACGCTATATTCGTTATGTCTCACGCAAAATTCGTTATGTCCCATGCAAAATTCGTTATATCTCACTCGAAATCTGTTATGCGTCACGCTTAATTCGTTATGTCTCACGCAAAATTCGTTATGTTTCACGCAAAATTCGTTATGTCTCACGCAAAATATGTCTCACGCAAAATTCGTTATTTGTCACGCGAAATTCTTCATGTCTCACGCGAAATTCGTTCTGTTTTCAGATACACAGATGAGTTTAGATTTTGCTGTGCTGCCCAGATTACTGGTGAATGTTTACCAAAACCTGACGAATTCTCATCCTGTACAGATCTTATGTCTAACTTTGTTCTGCGAGTCAGCATATGGATTCTTGGCCTGGTCGCTTTCTGGGGGAATATTGTGGTCGTTGTATGGAGAACACGTGACCTGAGAAACGGAAAGGTGATTTCATATATGAATTCATATATGAATTTGTGTTATAATATTGAAACATATTTTTTTTTGTCTGAATCTTTCTTTTTAAACAAAAATCGTCCTAGCAGATTCATCGGCTATGTCCTTTATTAAATATTATTAATATAATGATCTCGGGTTTTTTGGTTTCCTTTTTTTATGATACATATTTGGATGAATTATTTCGACCACTATATTTACAGTATTTATTACAGACAACTTTTTGCGAAAGGGTGGCTTATTTTGTGTGTTATCTGTGTGTTATTTTGTAACGATTCTTTAGCTGATATGAACCGTTTAATATTGTGATACTTTGTTCTACTAATAAAGGGAAGTAATACAATCATTTCTATTATTTATCTGTTCCTTAAGTTACTTCCCTTGACAAATTGGACGGATAATATTTTCCTTATATATCAGCATATCTCTTTAACGCGTTTTTTTTAAATTATTTTTTTATTTATGATAATATAAACTTTTCATAAATATTTGCAAAACGAGAACATCATTTTTGTTTTATTTCCTGAACTTTCGAACCAACGTATTTTCCAAGACTATAATTTTCATTTGAGTAAATACACTCATATATCAGATGGTATCCATAGCAACCATATATTATTTTTATTTCTGGCGCTTTTTTTATTGATATGGTGTTGTTTTAATAATAATTATATATTTTTTCTGGTTATCTAAGCATCTATGCAAATGGACTTTTTTTCAGATTTTTTTATTTTCTAAAAAACCATGTAGGCAAATTGTGTTTCATAACAAGGTCTTATGGCAATTTTTTTTTATTACATGACATGGCATGACTGGAAATAATATTTCGAGATAAATGTTCAATTTGATGTAGGGTTGGACCAATAACTTATGTGCAAAGTTTCAGATCATTTGCCCTTTCCGTTTCTTTTCCAGAATAGTAATACTAATTGTGAAAAATGACCATTAATTTTAAAGCGTTCAACCATTTTCACTCAAATTGTGTTAAGAGTAGCATAAAATACGAGTCCTAAAGTCAACTCACTGATTTCCTTCTAAAAATAAATTCGGAAACTGTCGAATTTTACCGAACTTGTACGAACTCTTGAAAGATCGAACATTTCAAGCATGATGCATATACATATGATAGAATTGCTTAATTGACAAGAGGTTCATGACTTTTATCTAAAAGCAGTGTGTATTTAGAGTTAGGAACAGATGTCGAAAAGCTTTTATTCATTTTGTTGTACATCCGTCTTCAATGTTAATGTATAATATTTATATAGTTTATTTACTATATACGAATAGCTGATCCATTAATATATCAACATTAACAAGAAAAAGATCGCGTCATATCATGAAATCTCGTAATTTATTTTGGAATGTCCTTGTTTTATGTATAGAGGATATTGAATGAGTTTAAGTTCAATACTGAATTTATTGCACGAGTTGAATAAAATTATATTATGCGAGCCTCTGGCGAGCATATTATTATTTTATTCAACGAGTGCAATAAATTCAGTTATGAACTTACACGAATTTAATATTCTATTTATCACATACCCAAAATAAATACCGTTTAAAGTGAAATAAGAGTCAGTTTTCATTGACGCGCCTACAGTATAACGCTTACATTTAGCGCGTCTTAACACTATGTTTGTATAACACTAATGACGTCACGTCAAAATATATGCACGGCCGTGAAATACCATATTTACGGAGTCGCAAAATCGGCACGGGTGTGACATAAATCTATTTATCGGGTACCATTTAAGTGGAAATATTCTATTACGAATTTCTCAAACTTGATTATTTGCACTGTGTGTAACTTATTTTTTTAATTGATTTTAAAACCCCTTTAACTTCAAATGCACTGTTCCAAACTAAAAAATGGAAAATCCATTTCAAAAATTCATCTGGTCAAAATTTTTCATTTGCGACACCTTAAAAAACGTTACTCCACGGTTGTGTTAAGTACACTGATTTTATGTTTTGCTTTTACATGACGAACTATTTCATATTCAGTGCTATTTTCGTCTGCTGATAAGCATCTTATATATTGTAAGTCCATTATAACAACATTTCATAAAATTTATTTACCCTTTGTAGAATATTTCTCGGGCTTGATATGTATAATTGATAAATATATTGACTATATACTTGTAGATGAAATAACTTCTATATGTCTCTGGTGGTATATTGATGAAATAAAATGCGTATTTTTATTTCCTGTATTTTCATTTTCGTACAGTTTGTTAAAGGAACCCCACTGAGGTCACAAAGCCTAAAAATGAAAATTTCAATTTTTTACAAAGATCAAGTGAAGCATTTACAATGAAATATTCTGAGATGGATAATAAAGAAATATACTAAATATTTAATTGAAAAAAAAAATTATTGTGTGATTTTTAGCCCAATTTCAGTCAAAAGCGTTGCAACGTTTATCATTTTTACGTCTATTCGCACAATAAAATTGAATATACTGGAAAACGGGGTGAGAATGATCTGAAAATTTGCACACAAGTTATTGGTTCAAACCTACATCAAATGGTACACAAATCTCAGAAAAATATTTCCAGTCTCGTAATGCCAGAAACCTCATCGGAGTCCCTTTAATGATTATATTTTTGGTTTGGTATACTTTCAGGTGCACTCATTCCTTATTACAAACCTCGCCATTGGTGATTTCCTCATGGGTGTTTACATGATGATTATTGCAATTGTTGACTTCTATTATCGCGGAAACTACATACTTCACGACCGATTTTGGCGGGAAAGTGAATTGTGCAAATTCGCGGGCTTTATATCGACATTCTCGAGCGAGTTGTCGGTCCTTACACTGACTGTGATCACGCTGGACAGACTTGTTTGTATAATATTTCCCCTGCACTTTAGACGACTAAAACTTAGAGACGCATCCTACGTCATGTGTTTTGTATGGGCTCTCGTCTTGGCGATTTCCGCTGTTCCGTTGACTGGAATTGATTATTTTGGAAATTTCTACGGACGTTCGGGGGTGTGTCTAGCGTTCCATATCACAAGCTCCAAACCAAAGGGCTGGGAGTACTCAGTGGCGGTGTTTCTTGTTTTGAACTTTATATCATTTTTAGTGATATTTTTCTCCTATCTACGTATGTTTTTCGTTGCTAAACAGACTCGAAGCGCTGTCAGAAAAATACAAGATAAAAATGATAGTGCTATGGCACGCAGGATGACCATCATTGTCGCAACCGACTTCTTTTGTTGGGTTCCAATCATTCTTTTAGGTTTTGCATCGCTTGGAGGAGCGGAAATTCCAATAGAGGTAGGAACATAATTTTCTCCTTTTTGTAATTAAATTGTGTAAAATAAAATATGAGACGAGAGCTGTATTATTTAATTTCAAAAATGATAAAATTATGCAAGAATGATACTCTATAAGTGAATGCCAGCTTGATAAAACCAACCGTAACGTCATTTTACAAATGACGTCAAAAGACGTCAACGTTATCATTGATATTAAGTTTGTTGTTTTCTCAAACCGGCAGTCATAATATTCATTTCAAGATAACTCACTTTGAGCAATAATTTCAAAACAAATGTTTCTTTAGTTACTAGTAATGGTATTAATATTTACTACAGATGTAGCAGAAGTTTTCTGGCGCTGTTTGGCTTAATGCAGGGTTTTTATTATTTAAATATTTTTTTCTATCTATATTACCAATGTCACATCTCATGGCATCTTTTGATTTTTCCATCTGTATATTCTGAATCTTGAACAGGCTGAAATTTCTGTTTATCATTCATTTATACATTTACTTATAGACACCTGTAGAGCGTATTGTTTTATTTTGAATTTTATGATATTATTTTAATAGTATGCTTATACTGTTTAAAAACCTTTATTAAAAATATGATTACATATTGACATAATATTACGGATTGACCAGTAATCTTAGGACGGTTTTTCATATACATTATTATGTAAGGTTATCAATATTGAAGTTTGACGAGCGGCTTACCTATATGAAAAAATATAGGTAATATATAATTAATATATATTATTATGTATTGAAATGTACATTTTTGTATAAATTAAACGAATTTAGTAAATATATAAAAATGATAACTAAATGGTTCATTTCAGGTGTTTGCTTGGGTAGCTGTGTTCGTCCTCCCTTTGAACTCGGCTGTGAACCCCGTGCTTTACACAATATCAACACCGCCATTCTTACGTCACTTCCGGAAAAGAGCCAATATCTTCAGGAAGTCGTTCAAATTATCATCAAAAATTGAAACAAAACATAGCTTTCTAGGTTTGTTATAATTTTAGACATTGGCTTATTATTGTCTGTAACATATTAATATTTCGGACTTATCCCTTAAGTAAAGAAGAGAAACTAGTTTCCTGATGTACATGTATCCCATTTCTTAGTTGCGATAATTGTTAAATTGTTTCTTTTATGTAATATGTTTATGTAAATAAGTTAATAATAATGTATAGTAGTCGATTGTGTTGGAAGATATCAGCTTATTGAAACATTCTCAAATCAGTTCCTCGAACCAACCAGTACTAACCTTTGAGCGTAAAGTGTCTTGCTAACGCAAAGGGTTTGAACCAACGCGGCCAGCAATCCTTAGATTACTAATCCGATGCATTTACCACTCGGCCACGCCGCCACTTTATGTAGCCATATATAGTATGTGAATATCGGGCACATGGGTCTATGACCTTCTGGTGCTTGAATCTTGTGATTTCATTTTATTTATCTTACAGCTTAAAACTGAACACTCTTTATATATTTTCAAGCAATTACTTATATTACAGTTTTGTATTAATTAATTGCAATATTTACACTTACACCTTCATACATTTATTTGATCGATTATTGTGTTATGTCTCTATTCCAGAAGACCGCTCTTCACATGTTTTGGACCGGAAGCCGAAATATCGCCATCTTGAATTGATGCGCATGCGCAGTATGAATAACTGTTACACTCCATGTCAAAGTCATTCGACGACCCATTCACATTCACATTCGGATCATTTATTATAAAATTGAACATTTTATTTTCTTATTAGTTTCGTTATTGTCTTCTGTGTATGTTTGCAGGATACGTTAAATTTAATTTTTTAGAAGTGATTGAAATTAAAAATAATGAGTGCCTGCGCGTGTGCGTGCGTGCGCGTGCGTATTTGAAAGGAAGTGAATAAGGATGTAGAATAATTATGTAAAAGAGGAAATTTTTATTGCATTTCTCCTATTTATAATTGTTTCTTTTCATTGTGGGCGGGGATGTTGTTGGTGTTTTTGTTTTTCTGTTAAAGCTATCAAAGCTATTTTTTGTAAATACATATTTAATTATCATCTTTGAGATGCTGGGTTCAGTGCACACGTCACATTTGTGCCACCGTATAATACCCAGACTGTATTTTATTTTATTCTATTTTTTGTGAATAAATCACAACTTTTTTGGGGTGGGGGCAGTATTTTTATATTCAAAGTTATTTTGTTATTTATAGTTTTACTGTTGGGTCACTCAATTTTTATAGACTATACTGCCCAAAGATATTTGGCGGGTAGTTTCTCTTTGTGGTCTTCAACAAACTTTACATAAATGACTCATTTTTGTACAATATTCATTGTGATGTAAGAGGCGATGAATTCTAATCCAGTTACCTCTCTGGCGTGGGATCGATCCCCGGGATATGCTTTGGTAGTTAAGCGCGGAGGAAGGTAGTCTAGTACTGGTGTAACTCTCCAGGAACGATGGTTAGGAAACTACCTGCCTATATGACTGAAATACTGTTGGGAAAAGGCGTAAAATGATACAAAAAACATTGTGATGTTCCAAGATATCATTGGACATGGTTCCACGTGATTTTAGAATGAATGATCATATATTTTTTAGTACTTATGTAATCTAATCCATAAAAGAGAAAGATTTGTTTTTAAAGGGACACAACTGAAGTTTATTGTTATGACGGGACTGAGATTAATATTCCATTTGATGTAGGTCTAGATCAATATCTTGTGTGCAAAATGTCAATCGTTCACTCCGTTTTTCCGGAATAATTATTCTAGTTAAGAATAAAATTGAACCAACATTAAAAAACACTTTTACTCAAATCGGACAGAAAATAGCATTAAAATACGTTTTTTTAATTATTTCTGAGTATATTTGTTTTTAATCTTTAGCATATCTGTCTGTTTTAAATTCACCAGCATATATATGTAACAAAATCAGATTTCATGGGGATAGGTTAAATTATAGTGGAGTTCCTTTAATAAGGAAACAGTCTAAGAGTTTTATGATTACAAAAATGAACGCTTGATTTGCCAACTTTACTTTTTGTAACATTATTTTGACGTCGGTAAATAAGGAAGTTTATCCTGATTTCACTCGTACATTTTCTTCAAACACGCTTCCGATAGAAAAGATAAATTATAAACTTCACAAAAAATATAATGAACAGCATAAAGCCTAAAACATAAAATTTTGAAATTCTTACATAGATCAACTGCGAGCACTTGAAATGGAATATATGCTAAGGATGAAACTAAGAATTTAATTGAAAATCAACTTTTGTGTCTTAAATTATGTTTTGTCCAATATAATTGCTGTATTTTGAAATTCTTTGTACATCGTTATTTTTTTTGCAAATCGCCTAATTATAGAATAATCAGTCTGTTACATAATTGTTTATAAGAAAAATAATTTCAAACAATGTGCCGTTTATTGACCAATGTTATTTTGTAAATGCTTACTAAACTTTACTTAAGGCGATACTTACATCATTAAACGATTTTTGTTTTGGGCCACTGTGCTCATTAGAAATAATAATTCTTTAAAAAAAAAGCGAATTCGCGAGTTAGCGAATTATTGGTAATTTTGCACACTAGATATTCGTCTTGACCTTAGTTTGTGGTCAATTTTGCCATAAAAATAATCATTAAAGAAAAACTGAGTGAGCGAATGATCTGAAATTTTGAACACAAGTTACCAGTCTAGACCTACATCAAACATAATATTAATCTCGAAAAATCATTTCCAGTCCAGTTATGTAAAACAAAAATCTCAGTGGAGTCCCTTTAATCAAATTATACAAATGTCTTAAAAAAATTTCAAATCAAGACATGTCAAAACATCTCAGTGACGTTTTTAAATGATTTACATGCTGAACAAAAATTACTGAATGACTGTGATGCTTCTGTAATGCTTCTGTAATGCTTCTGTAATGCTTCTGTAATTAGGTGTTCGACAAGAAAACATGTGAAGTTGTGCAATAAAATAATATGTCCGTGTGTTGATTGATGACGCCAATATAAATAATATGTAGATAGTTATGAATGTTAAATTTATTCCTGTTATCTCTTTTCCCGTGCCATTTTTTTAAAAATGTAATCATAATAATATAATGTTAATAATGTAATATAAATCTTGTTAATTAATTAAAATACGTGTCAAAGGTGATATTTGTTAAGAATAAGACTACATGTATTGTTAATTAAATATTGTAAATTTAGTATTTGGGTTTAAGTATTAATTCTTTTCTCAATACATTTAATTAAATTATGTATTTACTTTTTTAACTAAGTGAAACTATTAAAACTATCGAAAGGTCATATTTCTCAACTATGTTTCTTTTTTGGGTGTGTGTGGGGGAGAGAGTAACTTTATATTTTACCCGTTTTTTAATTGATTTCCAGTTTTGTTCTGATAATCGTTTTCCAGTTACATTTTTATAATCAGTGTCAATATTGGTCATATTCTACAATTCCTTACTATCGGGGATGGTTTCAAGTGTTGTTCTAATAATCGTTTTCTTTAAAAACTTAAGTCTTCATTTCATATATTACGTTTTTCCCCTTTTACACATCAAACACCTCGCAGTTCATTTTGTAAACAGGGTGGCGTTTGCACGTGCAGCACGAGAAATAGATGACGCAGTTTTATGATTTGCGCATTTCGTGTTTATCGTGCACATGTCTTTTCTTCTACATACATTGAGAAGTAAATATAAAAAGGAATGATACAATATGACCAATATTGACACTGATTATAAAATGTAAGTTTATGTTTATGTAATATATAGAGGATATTGAATGAGTGCAGCTTCTATACAGTTTTATTGAACGAGTTGAATAAAATTATGTTATGCGAGCCTCTGGTTTACGTTGGGATTTTTCCAACAGAAAATAAAGATGACGGCGGCTTTAATCAAATGGTGAGTAGTAAATATTTTTGAGAAATTTGAATGGGGTATGACACTGGCAAATTAATAGATGCACCATACTAATGATTTTTCTTTTTCGTTTTTTCTTCTTCTTTTCCTATAAAATTAATGATAAACTAGCAATTTAGTGTTTTCAGGTTTATTCAAAATGCAGTTTTCCATTTCGATCACGTTGAAAACGAAATCACGTTTCAAGAAATAACTTATATTTTCACGGGAGTAAATTCTAATAACATGGTGATTTGTAGTGTTTAGGTTATTATTTCTGTTTTGAAGGGCAAAATATGTTATGAATAAAATTCTTGTACAGATATGTTTTACTGTTTCATAGAAATATATAAACGTTTACAGTTTGATTAATTTTTTGTTAATTGAATTGACATTTAAATTTGTTAAATTATTATGATATGTACATATATCTGTGGTTCATGAAAGAGTGACATTGTTTAAATAAAAGTGTATAAAGTGGTACCTTTCTTTTTTCAAGTTATTATATCATACCGCCTTGTAAATATATTATATCGTTTAAAATCTTGACGAAAAAGTTGTGTTTGCAGAGAGCTAATCCTGTAATGGGAGATCATTGCAGAAAAGCTGGAGCCTATACTGTTTTGGTGTGACGTAAAACCCAATCAAACAAACAAACATTGACCCATTTCTAGTCAATTTTACAAAAAATAGAATAATTGTGTTTTTTTCGTACATGGATTTAATCGTTCTTTGATTAATAGTGCCACTTTTACATATCATATACTCAGAAGCGCATTGATTACTTAATCTTAAAGTTAAACAGAAATGGAGAAAATAAAAGCAACGAAATCTGTATCAAATAAACGCATTTAAAGATAATCCCAGTTTTTAGTAGATTTTAGTCTTACTTTTACTCAACTGTAGTTTTTTTTCCATTAAGAAAACAAAATTGATGTTTATATGAATTTTTCCTCTTGTGATTCGTTCATAACATTCTAAATAAGCCATGTATTCATTGGTTATTTTCCCCTCGTCAAAGATAGTCGTTATTTCGTATATCCGAATCAATATCACTTAATCCCACGTGACTGACCTCACTTGTCCGTTTCCCTATCTCTAAAAGCTTCATTCTGTTATTGAATGATTCCGATTGTTTGCGTCGGCGTCCTTCGGCTGCAAGCATGTTGGCCAGTGCTGAGAGTGGACCGGAAACGGAAAGTTGCTGAGAGCGCCGTCTAGATACGCTTGAAGTTGAAGGGTATGATTGTGCAAATCTGCCGAAATTAATTTTAAAGAATGGCAACCGGAAGTTTCGTTTACCTAATGACAACAGCGCATTTCGATGCGCATTTCTTTCATTGTTTCTCTGACTGTAAACCATGTCTGCTAAAGATCGTAAACCGCCAGTTAGAGAAAGTTGTGCTCGTTTTCTATTGTCTGTTAATTCGATATCATTCCAGTCAGCGTTCGTGTCAGTGTCCCTTGTATCATCATTATGTAATGTCTTAATGATGACGTCACTGTCGACGTCATTGTCCATAACGTATCCGTATGGTAAAAACATGAAAAGTTGACACACAGCGGCGAGGATCAATGCCGAAATTAGATTCATACAGGGCTTCATGGTGTCCTTTGATATTTTATTTCTGAAAAAGAACAAAATAAGATAAAGAGTGCAAAATTCTCTTCAATGAGTTTCATTATGTATTTTGTTATCAGTTAGGTCAAGAACGTCCAGCAATTATATAAATAACTTCCTCGACCTGCAATTAAAACGATAAAAAAAGTTTAAAGTAAGAAGGAATTTCCGACATCAAAAGAACTAGAAATATGAAGAAACTCAAGCACCGCCTAATTTGTCAACATGAAAGAAACACCTGCTTGTTGAACAGTTCAACATAAAAATCAAGACAGCTGTGAAAGGAGCTGCACTGAGGTAAAAATGCCTGAAAACATAAATTTATTATTTTTTTTACATAGATCAAGTGAAACACCTAAAATAGGATATTTAAAATGTACTCAGAACTTAATTTAAATCGAAAGGTCATTACTCGATTTGAATGCAAATTTAACAAATTTATTTCTAAAACAATAACGAAATTCGGAGTAACACCTTGAATTCACAATAAAAGCCTAGTTTTTAATTGAAATGCATGCACACTTTTTATCTGACACCCTCTATAAATACATAGTTTTAGATACGCCAAGAAAATGTCTCTCTAAAGAGCACCAATTGCTTTAGTAGTGAGTTTTTCTGGCAACAAAATGGCGGACAAATGTCGCCATATTCCATTCTTTACTTAACAAGCATTTACATTTCGAGTATTTTCATTTCCATTTTGTGACATTTAGAATATTAAAAAGCAATTAAGGTCAATTAATTCTGAGGATTGTCAGAATAACATTGACTATTTTCACCAGATCTTCATATCAGATATGATGATTTTGATAATTAAAGACCCATTATGCCTCAGAAATGGTATCATTTTTATATCTCAAAAACTGTTAATTTTTGGTATCTTGTTACTGTTTCCAAAAATATACTCATTTGCTACATACATTAACTTTTTTTTTGTATCTTAAGGTCTGCTGTAAATTTGTATTATTAAAGTGAATTCGTATAATTATATAAGTCAAAATACTGCACGTATTTTGTTTACATTTTGCAACCTTAATGATACTGCATGTTCAGCGCTACTTTTTCAGTTGTTGAATATCTCATATGCTCTCAATCCATTATTTAAAGTTTTTTTAAATACATGTTTAACATCTCTAAGAATTAAAAAGATATGGATTTCTGAGGCATAATGTGCCTTTTAAGAATAAAGTTGTTTCAATTAAGTAAAATGATTTGGACCATCATATAGACATAGTCTCACATCATCATTATTCAGTATCTAAAGGCGACCATATGTTAAATATATCGTTTTCTGGGTCAAACCTTATAAAAAAATCTTGAGTCATGATAAATACTGTCAAAATATTTCATCACTTGATAAAAGTACAATTTTAGCTTTTGAAGCTATTTTTGTCACCCATATACATCTCACAGAGGCCAACAAAAATGTCATGAAAATGGTTCAAAGAAACAATATCATAGTTTCTTAGAACTTTTATTGCATGAAATGTCACTTTGCTAATCATGTTTATGAATATTTCATATTGGATGAATTTTAAGTACACAAAACATTAAGTGGCCTTTTTATACAAAGGATGTGATTTCTATAATGTATGTCTATGAAGTACATAGATGACAAAGTGTTCATACACGTATATAAATTTATTGTGCTCGAACGAAATGTTGTAATGTTTTAATTTCAATTCTTTTAAACAAAATAAAACACATATCACGACGATAGAAACACTAAGAAATAATGTACGGACAAATCCAAAACTGATAAGGTGGGCGACAGACGGTAAGCTGTAAAATAAACACGCTGTAATAAACGCACATATGGACGTTTCTGGGGCCCAAACCTGAAATCATTACGTATGAGGAAAACACACAAACACACTTATTTATATCAATAAAATGACATGATTTTGGAATTTTTAACTAAGTCTGCAGCGACAAAAGATACTACCCTTGCGATCAGTGCAGACCAAGATAAGCTAGTACTTGTTTGAAATTTCACATCTTCACTAAAATGTTGAGTTAAGTTTAGTTTAAACAAATTTATTATAGCTCGATTGTGAAACAAGTTCTTACAACTTATATATATCACTTTCGAGTCAACCTCCTTACCATTGGTGTCATATAAAGAAGCATAGTGAAAAGTCGAAATAATAATTTTGATGTTATTCAGCCAAAAGTTTTGAGAAACCACACATCGAAGATAACCGCGTTACCAAAATGCTCGCTGTTATTTATTAAATGTCATGTGTTTAATATCATTATGAACTTTGTTTTTGGAAAGAAGACATTATGGACTTGAGCGGGGTTTTTGTACTCGTAGTAAAATTTGTCCAATGTCTAGAATACGGCGATAGCGTGACACCTTTAAAGAATAATCTATAATTATTTAGGTTGAGCCATTTTAGCACATCAAGTACACATTTAGTACATCACGCACGGTCTTCCTGTTTAAGATATCTGATAGAGATCCTTTATAACTTTCTATGACTTTTGCATGATTTTCCAGCGTTAGGCTAAATTAATGTACTTTTTTATATATTACATGATTGATCGATGTCGTCAGCGTGAAGTTCACGTGTTGAAGTTTGATATTAAAAGATTATCTACTAATTTGGAAAGGATAAAGTGTAAAATAACAATAACAATAATATGTAAGTCTTTTTTTGCATCATTGCTTAGAACGGACAAAAACAATATCAAAGAAATATAAAATAATGCGCCTGTACCAGTCCATTACATCCTTGAAATACTCGAATATAATTCTTGGAATCCCAAAAAAGTACTACAAATTGGCCCTAACGGGGTTTTTTGTTTAAAAATTTAAAAGGGAGTATTTCCCTTCATAGCCCTCTTTAAAAGAAGAATATCAACGATAATACAAGGACAAATGTTTCCCGCAATGCAGCAAATTTTAGAAGCTCCGGGGCAAAAAAAAAGTTCTCATTATTCAGATTTTCCTTTTTTCCAATTTTTTTCCTACGACAGGTTATGTTTTTTTTTTTCAGGGTTAAGTATTTATTTTGATTTTTTCCGGGAAAGTTTTTTAAACCATTGGGTTTTTTTTGGCCAAAAATTATACTTAATTTTTATGCACTGTCCATAAACAAGTTTTTCCCTCGGTTTAAAAAGAGGGAAATATTTAATATAAGGAAAAAATGTTTCACTGATTTTCCTTTTCCTGGGTTTAAGGAAAGTTAAAAATTCAAATTTTAATCAAAAAGACTTTAGAAATTATAAATGTTTAAATTTTTCAGTTTTAAAATTTTTCTGGGGGTTTTTTGTTTCAAATAAAAAGAAGATTAAAATTTATAGAAAAATCAGGGCTGTTATAATTGTAACAAATATATCAAAATTGGGAAAAAAAAAGGACTAATATTTTAATATTTTTTGTTATATTGCATATATTTTTTTTCATGTCAAATTAAAAAAATTGGGTTTCTTTTTAAAAACTTGAAAGTAGAACACCTCTGGGAAAGAAAAAAAAGGGATTTAATTTTCCCAAAAAACCCAAAATTTTAGGATTTTTTGTTTATTTTTTTCCGGGGTTTTCATGGTGGGTTTTTTCCCTATTTTATAATTTTAATTAAAAAAGACTGTTTTCCTTTAATTTTAAAGGGAGGGGTTTTGAGGAAAAATTTTTATTTTTTAATCATATTCGTGCAAGACAAAGATATAAAAGCTATTTGACATTGAGTGGATATACAAAAAAAACTATTGTAAATTAAATTTTTAGGGTAGATCAATATATATTTTATGTTGAATTGCCTTTAAAACCATTCATTAAAAAAAAACATTACACTTCATGTTCAAACTGCAGATCAATGTTTCTGTTGTTGTCATGATATCTATCTATAACCTATGCTTAAGGTGATTCCGCTTTGTCAGTCACGTTTGTTTTTAACTAAAAGTCTGTCCAAAAGTGAAAGTAGTGGCCAAAATTCATATAACAACAAAGCTTCTTATTGTAAAATGATAAACGATTTGAAAATGCACTTCCAGGTTTATATTTAAGGACATATTATAAACTTAAAAATAAAAATGATAACAATAAGAAACATTTACATTGATTTGATGTGCTAGCTAATTTTTCTAAAAGACCAAAACATTCTGTTGCAAAGTTTTTTGCACATTTTATGGTATTGCAAAATCCTTTTTTAAAAGTCTGTTTTATTGCCACAAAAGCTATTTTTTTGGGCAGCAAATACAAAATCTTTCAAAACTTAAATTCCCAAATAAATTTCAGTATCTTTTTCATTGGTTTTCCTTTTTCTAAGCACATGGCCTCCATTGTTTTTTTTTGTAAAAGTGTGGCTTAGAAAACAATCTCATTTTTTTGGGCCTGTATGGGAACTTAACAATTAAAATGAAAACACAATCAAACTTTAAAAATCTTAAACCCTTTTTATGTGTAACCATGTGAAGTGTGTTGTTTTTCATTGTTACACAAGAAATAGGTAAATGATGTTTATTTGAAAATCAATGGTACTGTTACTTTTTTTTTACAACATTGCCATGGGAGGCCATTGTTTTTTTCGGAAGGTCAGGTAAACTAACCTTTCCTTAGATTTATTGTTTTTAAGAAAGTTTTTTGTTTGTAATTTTTCTGGCAAAAGTCCATTTGTTTGCCAAAATAAATTAGACTTTAAACTGGATTTTGCCATTTTTCACGGGAAAATGTGCATAAAGATTTGCAGAGAATTGTTTTTGGTCTTCAGAAAATGTAGCCCATTCAAGATAAAATTCTTATTGTTATCAATTTTTTTTATTTTTGTTTAAAATAAGTCTTTAAACATAGAATTGGAAGTATATCTTTGCAAATAGCTTTTCATCTTTTTAACAATGCGAGCTTTGGTTGATGACTACTCTCATTTTGCTCAAATTTTTTTTGTGAAAAAACTTGGCTGACAGAGCGAATAACCTGAAAGGCGGGTTCCATTGCCGATCGCAAGCTACAAAATGCAGCTTTCTGGCTGTCGAGTACGGACCCCGAAAATTGTCAGCATTCAATAC